ACTAAAAAAATGTATATAGGCTAGTAGAATCACTACTTGTAGCTGCTTATTTCCTAGTTGCCTACAAAACAGTGTTCTCAAAACTTTAAATACTTGAGTATAGTGTGTTCACCTTTTCATGGTGAAAGCACAAGTTAAAAGCATCCTATAATAGGGAACGGTGAGATAATAGCTGATAACCACTATACCACTGTTTTGACTAGCAATTGCCTAGTAGTGAAATAAACCATGAAATAATGCCATAAATGCATAAGGGATTTCAGTCATGAATGTATCTCTTACACCTCACCAAATTTAGGTATAAATCATTTACGAATATAACTCTGAGGTCCTAGGCATATTTATAATGCGTAATTCCACCCAGAACCAAAACTACACAGAAACCATGAAAGCTAGCTAGTATTAATTTTGTGTCTACCCCTTTAGCATTTCAGCTTTACATAATGTTGAGATGTCAGGAAAAATATTATAATGGTTTGTGTCTTTGGGTTTTGCCAAAGAGCAGCAAGGGTCTGTTATGTTTTCTAACAGGATGCACTATGTACACTTACAGAGGCAATAAATATCATTGCGTCTAACAGACACCTAATATGTTATGTAACATTACGTAATTCATGAGGCAAAAGGCTTACATTGTGTTGCAACTCAAGCCCCAGGCCAGTGCTTTGCTTGCTACCATTGAATATTTGATTCATGTTGGACTATAGTCCTTTAGGCTTGGGGAAAAGCACTTGGCAGTCAGTGTAGATTTATTCACAGCTTAGAGAACTGGTTAAGTCCAAATCAAATACGATCAGGCTTAAATTGTGTCTGCTGCTATGTGTGTATATGTGTGTATGTGTGCATACGGTGAGCACTGACCAGGATCACACACATCTACACTCACCTCAACAAAAGAAAGAGGATATCTTCCATCAAAGTGATGACTCTGGAACTCTACACACACTACAAAGCGTTGCCCATGAGAAGCTCATCAATTATTCAGCCGTGCAAGCAGGCAGTACAATAAAAGCCAAATTTTCTTTCCCAGCGATGATGAGGAAGGGGAGATGCTCTTCAAATCCACACTGCCCTCCACAGGCAAGCTAATATAACAGCAGAGACAGAATCTCTGTATTCACTGAATGTAGTAGACAGGACTTTGACAAAAAAAGCACAAAAGCCTTGAAACATATATTACATAAGCTTATTTTTAATACAGGACTATACAAGGATACCGATGAGCACACAGCTTAGAGCTTGGAATAGCATCAACATACCTGCTGACACTTCACAAAAGGACATCTAAAATTTCAATAGCGGTCATGTCAGTAGGATATTCTGATGAATATTGTATTTGATTAGAGTTGGCAACCCCCATTCTATAATAATGAATATATTACTGTCCTTGAACAAATAAAATTTACGTGATAACGTTTATTTTTGGGGTTGTATTCATTTCATTTCAAAACTTGAGCTCAGAATCGAATCACAGACTTCGGAGAAGTGAGTAGCAGCCACTATCCACTATTTTAAAATTGTAAAACTTTTACATTTTTCCTCTCCTTTTCAGTGGTAGTTAATTTTTGTACACATTAAATGAACGTATCATCAAACTAATATGTCATGGATTGGAGACAGATGCAAATGCAGGCAAAATGCACAGACATGGCTGTATTTCCAGTGAGCAGTAATAGATGTGCTAAAACCACAAACAGGAGAGGTAGAATGTATCCAAAGTGTGGGGCAAAACTCACAGTGAGGAATGGTTACAGTCCCTCACTGCAGGACTTCTCAATGTATACGAGTGTAAGCGCATGCTTTATACTGTGAGACAATTGAGAACAGGTGTGTGTGATTAAAAATCTTTAGATGATGAATGAGGGTAAGTGTTCTGTGATGACCTGTGGGAATTGGAGTCCAAGTTGTGTTTGGAGGTGCGGCATGCTCGTGACATGCTGAGGATACTGGGAAAATGAGTCCATTGTTTCTGTGAGAGTTGACTGAGCTGTGACAGAACCAGCACCACTCCAAAGAACTTTTGAAAAACTAGGTCTTTTAGGATTTTACTAATGATACATGCATGCATGCATCTAATGATATGGCCTTCTGGGTCATGGGGCGGTGGTTGAGAGGCAGCTGAGGTACCTCTTTCCATAGGACCAGAAATCAATGGCTTAAGCATAGAGACATGAAATGAAGGGGCCATGTGGGGTAAATCAAGTTTGTAAATCATTTCATTGATGTATGTTGTGAGTATAGTTCTACTGGGGTGAGACTGTTTTAACCAGGCTTCACAGGCTTTTCAACATTGTATGGTTAGTAGTAACAAGGGTAGTAATAATGTTTGTCTTTTCTCTTTGAGTAATTTATCCGCATAGATGGCCAGTTCAATAAGATTGTCCAGAGTGGTATGACTAACATAATAAGCCAATTCAGTGAGTATATCTGTGTCATGTCATGGCTGATTTTGGCCATAATTGGCCAATATGAACTAGAGTTCCCAGCAGCCCCGGAAAAACAGATGACCTTGTCACATGCCTCCCCATCACTCATTCCCCTAATTAGTGCCCTGTAAGTTCAGTGGTTTCACCTGTTAGTTACTTAGCATCTGTTGTTTTGTGTTCATGCTCTGTTCTGGTTTTGCTCACAGTTCACACTTTGCTAGTTCTACGATTCATAGTCTTGATATGTTTTAATTGTACTTTTGGTAATAAAGAAAGTTTTGCACCTGCATCTGCCTCTCAATATCTGAACACTAAGCCTAATCATGGAGGCAGCAAGTTTCCTGAAATTCTGTCAGGCATTGATGGCACAGAAGTGCCTCAACAGTGGTAGCTGAAGTTAATATACTCCATTTTGGGGGTTCCTACACAGGGCAGTGACTTTATCATCTCCTTCTTTCCTGCCCTGCTGAGGACATTGCTCTGCCTCCCTGCTCTGATGAGGACATCGCTCCCCCCACTCACCTTGCTGTGTATATGTCGCTCCCTCCTTTGGCTCTTCAGAGTATGTTGCCAACCACACCACAACCACACACACACACACACACAGCTGTGCCATGTACATCACTCCACCCTCTTGCTCTTCCATGGATGCTGCTGCCCCTTCTTGCTTCATGGAGAATGTCACTCCCATCTTTGTCTCTGCAGAGAATGTCACTCCCTTGTCTGGCTCCATGGTGGATGTTGCTCCAGTTGCTATCGCTGCCATGGATGTCACTCCTACTTTTGCTCAGCTGAGGATGTCACTCTACTATTCTGCTCAGCTGAGGACATCAATCTTTTCTCCGATAAAAATGACGCACCTTCTGAGCCAGCTCAACGTCAGGGCCTCCAACAGAGCATGGACATTTTGTCTGGAAGTCCAGGACCCCTGTATGTTGTATGTTGTAAGACTGTATGTTGTCTGACAGTCAGATCTGATCAGTTCCTTTGCATTAGGGAGAGAAGACATACATTAGCTTCAGTGTCCTAAGGAGGATGCTCAGAAACATTGCAAAAAAAAAGCCCCACAAACCTTTCATAAGCTTGGGTGCTTGTGTGCATACTGCTGTAGCCCAGCTTTTCCAATAAATAGACACTAAATTAGCCATTTTGTTGTTTTAGCTATCTGTAGTCAATTTCTGGGCAGAGAGGTACATTGAGCACTGTAACAGCAAACCTTGGCATTTATTAGAATAACCATCATATTTCTCTGGCTGTGTGATGTGAAACTAACTTGGTGGGCAAGCAGAGGCAGAGGATGGGGCTAAGTGATGCAGCTGGTTGGAGAGCTTGTCCAATGTGGCATGGAGTGCAGCCAGCTGCTGATCTTGTCTCTTCCTTGAACAGAAATTGCATTACAGAGTCCATTGAAGCCTGCTGCATCCATGGTGGGCAAACGGATTGGAGATGGATGCAAGTGCAGATGAAGTTCACAGATGCAGCTGTAACATGGGTGAGCATTACTGTGTGTACATATTAATGCTCACATCAAAGATCACTTTGATCGGCATGTATGTTGGTACCAGAAGGGCTGGTTTGTGTATTTCATAAATTGCTGATCTCCTGGGAATTTCACACACAACAGCCTCTAGAGGTTACACAGAATGGTGTTAAAAGCAAAAAACATTGAGTGAGCAACAGTTCTGTGGATAGAAACACCTTGTTGATGAGAGATGTCAGAGGAAAATGGCCTCTTTGAGCTACCAGGAAGGATATAGGAACTCAAATAATCACTCACCATGGGGAGCAGAAACGTATCTCAGCATGCACAAAACATCAAACCTTGAGGTGGATGGGCTACAACAGCAGAAGACCACATTGGGTTCCACTCCTGTCAGGCAAGCCATCATGGGCACAGGCTCACCTAAACTGGACAGCTGAAGATTTTAAAAAAATAATAACCTGGTCTTTTTCCAGTCTTCTGCTGTCCAATTTCAGTCGGTCTGTGCCTGTGATAGGCTCAGACTCTTGTTCTTGTGCAGGTGTATAGGTATACTATCCTACTAAAATGGATGGTGAGTGCAGATAGATAGATAGATAGATAGATAGATAGATAGATAGATAGATAGATAGAAATCCTCCTGGATTTCTTATCACTGTAAACCCTAATGTTGTCTTTACTTAAACAATCAACTAATCATGATTAAACATTACTTGAAATGTTGCGTTTTGTTCCCATAAATCAAAAAATCTAAGTTTGTTTAACTTATTTACCAAAATATATAAACTTAAGATTCCAAGTGTTATGAACTCAAAATCATGATGCACTGATAATAATTGCAAAAGTGGTCCTCTTCATCTGTCTGTTGCTGGTACTGGTGTAGTGATGTTCAAGAGTTCATCATGAGTGGGAGATATGAATCCATGTGTGTTTACAAAGGAATGACAATCATGTAGAGGATGTTTTGTAAATAAAGTTACATTTTGCTAAAAGTGTTAATTTCCCTTAGGTCTAGAGACTGTTGGGATACCCTGTGTTTAAGTATGCTTGAAATGAGCACTGACTTCAGTGAAATTAATTATTTCAGTACTGATTCCCTGGTAGACTAGTGGCTAGCATGTGGCACTTTCACTGCCATGGCCTGGGTTTGATTCATGGTCAATAAATGCTATATGAACAACAAGTTAGGTGATCCTACTGTAAGTTTTGGGAGACCCCATTACTCAGTTAAATTGAGGGAACGGGTGTACTCAATCAATTGAGTACAGTCAACTTGTTAGCATTTTCACTGTTGCATATCAAAGGAAATGGCAATGTTAAATATAGTAATGAATGATAATCCATTCATTTTTTAAAATGTCTACTTATTTCAGCAAGGAAATATGATTTATAAGTGCAGTGAGTAAAGCAAGCACTAGATTTAAGGTCAAATGTAACAGGTTCAACCCCATTACTATTCTCGTTTCCAACCTTCGACTTAATGGAAGCAATACATTCACAGATGGAGTGGCATGGCCTCCACAGGGTGTAGTAATGCCTGAGCTCTCTTACTGTAATTAGTCATCATGTTCTTGCCATGTGCCGACACCTGTTCCTGTTTTACTGCTGGAACAGAATGACTGATTCAGTGTGTCACAGTCAAGACTTTCCCTAGGGCTTTACCATCCACCTGTACCGTTATTATTGTAGCATGCCTCCAATAGATAATGCAAGACTATTATTTTACATTTTTAATATCATCTACTCAACCAGAGTATATTTGCAGACGCATGATACTAATAACTGTAGACATTGAAAAAACTGTCATGAGAAAACTGAAGGCTGGAGTTTTGCACTGTTGCTTCTGTTTATACCTGTATCTACAGTATATACACATATCCACTGTATACTTTATATATTTATTGGGTACACCTCTCATGTAGGTACACTCTTTGCCAATTTTATCAGGACCACCTCTTCACTGTAGTTAGAGATACAGTTTTTATTTCTTCTCTGCACTTACTACTTTAATTCCTGTTGCAATCTAAAATTTCCCCTTGGGGAGCAGTAAATTATATCCATCCATCCATCCATCCATCTGTCTATCTATTTATTTCAATCTCTCCTCAGTGACATTGTACTTATCCTCTGCACTCAATATAACCTTTCCTGTTTTTGTTGCCATAATCATTAGTTTCTTTTGTTTACAAATTTGAAAGACACAAGGCAGGTTGTGTCCATGGACTCGTGCTGCTGATGCAAAATTCTGACCCTACCATCTGCATGTCACAGCAGAAATCAAGGTGCATCAGTCCAGGCAAAATCTATTTATTTAACTGTTAATTAAACTAAATTAATTAACTGTTAATTTAATTAAACTATGTTGAGATAAGATAAGGAGACATTTACCTAAGCTAGCTGAATGTAAAAGCTTATAACTGAACTGAACTTATAACCATAAGTTATGTATGTTGTGAAATTGCTGCCTAATCAGCCAGAAGTCATTCCACTGGTAGGAAGCAGAATGCAACATGTGTAATGTGCCACTCATCATGCATTTTCACCAATTAGCAGGCTGCAGCATATGAAGACTTACAGGTTTTTAAAGTAGATTAAAAATATAACATTTTTATAAAATTGAAGGTTTTGAGGTGGTGGTGGAAAAGAGTACACTCAGTAAACTCATAGCCATTCAGGACAATAAACAGCATCCCCTCCATGACCTACTGGTTAAACAGTTTAGCTCCTTTAAGAGAAGACTCGTTCAGCTCTGCTGTAGAAAGGAGTGGTACAGGAGGTCATTTGTACCAACAGCGATTGCACTGCACAACAGCTCATCACTGTCCTGGGACACTATTTTGCACAGATCCAGACTTAGGATAAGCTCATTGGAAAATAGTTGAACTTTACGGCCATCCACTATTCATATCTACATGCACTGCCACTTTACTTCTATTAATTTTTCCCTTTTCTTTGCTTTTCTCATATTCACTCTATACAACACTGCATATCCCTGTTCATTTTATCGCTGTTTGCAAAGCTTACACTGTTGATAATGTTTGCAATGCACTGCTACTTTAATTCCACCCAAGACTGCTGCTTATATCTACAACGTTTACACCCCACTGCACTACCACATCAAACTCTTACACTGTATTCTTCTTACTTATATATATCGATGGAATGTTGCTTTGAAATAAAAAATAATAATAAATAATAGATGTTTCTACAGAGTCCCTAAGAAACCTAGCAAGCTACTGAAACCTCAACAGCATTTGGCTAAGTTAGCTAGCCATCTAGCACTGTTGATAATCGAGTTGGTGTTCCTTCCAGCATAGCTCACTTGGTTAGCATAAAAACAGAATAGAAAACTGAACATGTTTGGATTAGTTGTGTAAATTGTAGACATATGAAAAAGTAATTTTATAGTTTTTCAGTTTATTTACTTCTACTGGAGTAATTTTATTACTATTATTGCTACAGCAGCAGTACTTTTACTCAAGTCAGTATGTTTTGTGCTCTTTCCACCATTGGTGTGGAGTAAAGTTTATTGTCTGGAAGTGGGTTTCTCCACCTACTGTATAATCAAGGTGATGAAGCCTGGCTGGATTTTATCTGGCATGTAAGGCTACACTGAGATCAGCATCGAGTCACTGACCTTGACTTGCAATTTGAAATAAAAATTAAACACCCAAGTTGACCTGTCTCCCACCTGAGAGCTATTATTTCCACACAAGACTCGTTTAATGTGATACTTACATCACTGTGATTACCAGCAGTTAGACAGATTCACAGAGCTGAATGGTGACTGTCTGGGCCTCGCATCGTAAAGCTTCTAAAGCATTCAAGCTTCAGAGGGAGGATAGGAAGTCATTTCATTATTTTTATGTTTTCACATATTCTGTCCATGCTTCTACCTGTCTGTCTGTTCATCTGCTTGAGATTCTTGTTAGCACTATATTTCAAGAACAAGCGATTCAATGTAATCAACAGTTGAACTAATAAGATTCTGGATATAATCCAAACAGGGTCAAGGTCACAGCAAGGTCAAATGCCTGAAATAGTTTTTCTTCAATAGTTTCCTTCTTGTTTGCCATATAGAGATGTTCCTTACATGTTCATGTTCAGGAACTCAATGCCCATTTTCTGGATATCTAAGATTTGTGCCATCGGTCCATCAGTACATCTGTCAGTCTAGTAGGGAATTCTTGATTCATGATTATATGTTTTTATCTTTGCAGATGAAAGACGAGCAGATGAAATGGTTAATTCTGGCACTCTTCTAAACACAGTCAAGGAATATTTTAAGGATATTTGAGGCATAAAAATGAGTGTATGAAGTTTAAAGTTGCTGATATTAGCTAGTTGTTTGAAAGCCCAGTGTTGTCCAGTGTCCCTCAACAGCAGCTGATGCAGACTATCAAATAGCTATGCTCATACATCAGAATTAGCAGCTAACAAAACACAAAAATATTTTACCCGAATAAAAGCATAATAATAATAATAAATAACAGCAATAGCTCACAGTACTTTCATTTCCTTACTACATTTAAAAGCATTCTGGTTTCTTCTCTGTGTAATGTTTGTGGTGAAATTGTTGCTTGGGGTAAGATGCAGTGGGGTAAATTCAGCCAGATTGAAAACAACAAGGTTAAACCTAATTTGATACCTGTAGTTCAGGAAGAGTGTCTTTATTGTTGTCCTTGTATCAAATTTATTTTGCATAATAACTTAAGTCAACCAAGTAATAGCTTTGTGGCTCAACGACTGTGTCCACAGAATTTGGGTATCTTATACTTGATGTATAACGGGAATCAAGATTTTATTTACAGGGCGAAAAGATCAACAGAGAGTACCAGAACACTTTGACAACTGTTAATTACAATGACTTCTTTTGTAGGTTTATAGCATGAAATGCATTAGTTATGCACACGCACACGTACACACACACGCACACACACATGCATGGACACACATGCACGTACATACATCGGTACATTTATCAGTAAAGTTGAAAAGACCATGATCTGCAAACCAAATTGGTAAAAAAAAAAAAAAATAATAATAATCTTAAAAGACAGAGCAGGCTTTGTCCATGGTACTATATAACTTTCCAGAAAGCATTTTTCACAACCGGAGGCACCTCAGGGGACGGTCCTGTCTCCCTAACTGTTCACACTCTACACATCAGACTTCAGATACTACTCACAATCCTGCAATCTGCAGAAGTATTCTGATGACTCTGCCATTGTTGGTTGTATCAGCAGAGGACAGGAGGCTGAGTATTGGAATGTGGTGGCCAGTTTTGTGGAGTGGTGCGAACTAAATCACCAGCCAATGGGAGTGGGAGAAAATGAGTGCAGCAAAAGCTGCCCAGGCTCCATTTTGACATGTTAAATGGTTCATAAGATAGTAGAATTTTATGAACAGGACTCTGTTCCTAGTTCCTGCTGGGGTTAAATGTCATGTTACTAGCACATCCTGATTTTACCAAAAGACATGCATGAGTAACAAACAAGCCAAAAGCAAGCATGATCATACTGTATGTGTGGTGACCTGAGAAAACTCTACACATGGTGAAATTGTCTATTTGTCTATACATTGCCTATGGTATGAATTTCTTAAAACTACTGAGTTTTAAAACCTGTGAAAGTGAAAAGAGAGAAAATGAAGAGATTAAAGGGTTGGGTAAGCTCAACTTCTTAATTTCTTTTTCATTTAAAATTCTAAATATTAATATAAAATTATATACATTCAGGCACATAAATATTTGGACAATGACAAAATTAGAGTTCATTGGTAAACTCAGGAACAATAAAAGGGCCAAAAGACCACAGAAACAACTATGATAGATGACAGACCAAATATCCCCACAAGCATAGGAATATCTGACAGTTTTCACCTTGTAGGGACACAAGAGGAAAATCTTTTTTTTTTGCAACTTTTATTTAAAAATACAGTATATAAGGGCTAAAAGGTTTCTTTTTTGTTAGTTAGGTTAAGGGTAAGCTTAGATTTAGGTATAGGCATAGCATTAATTGGCTACATTAATAATTATGTCAATGAAAAATCATCACAAGGATAGTAAGACAAAATAAAATGTTGAGGGATGGCTAGAGAAAAAAAGAAGGCAAGTCCACCATCCTCTATGAAATGCAGCCTGAATCAGAGCAGGCTTTAAATGCAA